CTATCCATTTCATGATGAGGTCCCACAGGGGACAGGTAAGACTATCCATTTCATGATGAGGTCCCACAGGGGACAGGTAAGACTATCCATTTCATGATGAGGTTCCAAAGGGGACAGGTAAGACTGTTCATTTCATAAAGTTCGATTAAATAGGTTTATTTGAATGCCCACATTTCATATCATTGTTTTATTTCCTATCCTTTGTTGATCTACCAGTAGTCTTTTCACTAAAGATAAACTGAAATTTAACATCTCTGTGTCAAAGTAGTACTAGTGTTTTTAGGTCCAATCATTTTTGTAGGTCGGAAGGCAAAAGGTTTCAGGAAGTCCAGAGTGACAATAGACCCACAAGCAATCCTACTGGATGCCCCAGACTTTGAGTAAGAACCAGATATATGTTCTGAATTTTGAATCTGATGTATTCAAATAAATATACAGGTTTCGAATTCCTCGGTGAATATTTGAAAATGACATGAAACAAATTATTAATGGGCAATTGAAAAAGTAACAGAGATGTATCTTATTTTTGCATGATTAACCAAGGAATATGTGAGAATGTTGCTGAGATGAAATGTACATGAAACTTTTCTATGTGTTTCTTGCATGGTGTATTATTTTCTCTCTTCAGTCAAACCAAGAAGTCAACATGGGACACAGGTCGATCGATGAGGTACAACCAGGACGCACAGAGACAGGAAGGTTAGTGGGTCCCAATTGCACTGTAATTAAAAATACATGTACATTTATCTAAAGAAAGAGAAATTATACTCGCAAGTGAGTTAAGGCTACATATGGAGGTTTCTATGCAAAATATCTAATTAAATTCCATAATTGCTCTACCTAACGCACAGAAAATGTTAAGACTTGTTTTATAATACAGAATAGCCATTATGACGTCATATTATGACGTCATCGACCTCTACTACAAGTTTCTAAAATTTGGTTTTACAGAAACAAGGTAGAAAATGTCTGCACAAATGTCGGCACTGCAATTGTTTAGTTACTACTCGTGCAGTTTTAAGTTTAAACAGGGTAAAAATTCACAGTCCAGTGTAAGTTTCCTAATATATTTATCGATTAAGAAAGTTCATAGGATTTGTGCAGCAATTTTATTAATTTCAACATTATTCTCCTTAATATTATACCGGTACATTGTTTATTTTGAATTAGATAGGTTATGCCCTTGCGCCGACGTGATTTTGTTGATGTAATTTATTACCTTGAATGGGAGAGAAAAATGACGTCATGATACGACGTCATAATGTGCACTTGCATTAATAAACTGTGGGTACTTAGTATGTATTAGAAAATCAATTTGATCTTTCTCTGTTCATAAAATATACAAATTATTAATTTTTTATTAGCTCATTTGCATAGAAATTTTCATATTTAGCCTTAACTCACTTGCGCTCATCCCCTGATAAAATTTGGCTTAGGCAAGGTGTTCAAAATTGTTATGAAATCTTGACATTTCTTGTCCTAGATCACAGAAGAATGAAAGATATAAGACATTATTTGACAAGACTGAGACTCAATCCAGACAAGATAGACAAACCAAAGAAAGAGGTGAGATTTAAGCCAGTTAAAAACTGTAGATCAACAATTTATTAAAGTGGATATCTCAAACTTATATGTTCAATACAAGGGATATATGTTTAATTCTAGGGATATGTCAATGCAAGGGATATATCAAATTTATATTCTTGGAGTTAGACAATAACCATGGCTATAACATATACCAGGGATATAGTAAATACATGTTCCAGGGATATGTCAAATTTAAAGGGATCTGTCAAATGCTAATGATATGGCAAATGCTATGAATATGTTGAATGCCAGAATATGTCAGATAGAAGGGATAAATTAAATGCTAGGGGTATTTCAAATACCAAAATAAGGGAAACATCACAAACCATCTATCAAACACCAGGTTTATGTTGAAAAAAGAGAAGGCTTTGATGTCAAATACTAAAGATAAATCAAACACCATAAGATGTCAAATTCCAGGCTTTTTTTTTAAATCTAGGGATATGTCAAATATTTATGATATTTCAATTTCCCGGATTTTGTCAGATACACTTACTTCATGTATGTACAAATGATATGTTGAATCCAGAAAATGTCAAATATAAGGTATATATCAAATACCAGGGATGCCAGGATTATAACAAATACCAGTGATACATGTAATTATTGTCAAACATAAGGACTATGACCAAGATCAGGAATGTGTCAAATACTAGAAATTTTTGGTGGCAGTACCATGCAGAGATATGTCAAATAACTCATGATAATAAATTTCATACTCTTGTCAGTCTTGATCACATAAATATCTCAAAGGTCCTAAACAACCTTGCATGTTTGATACATTAAGGTTCAACTATCATATAAATTATGGATAAAACTTTTAACAAAAGGTTCTATTGATAGTGGTTAAGACTGAGATTGATATAAAACGCAAATATTAATAAAACAAAACTGAACTTTCCAGTTTGCTGGCGGTGCCTTCAGCAGGCTAGAGGCCCAATGGAAGATTAACAATCTCCAACAACAATCCAAACAACAGACAATGAACTCCTTCAGGTAGGGACTGAGGCTTGTTGTTCATTATCAGGGCATTAAGAAGTTTTGATTACATTTATATGTATGTGCATTGTGAACTGCATTTGAAGATGATTTGAAGTGCTGATATTAGATGTGTTAAAAAGCTTCTGTCATTGGGTGTTGGTACATTTTTCACAATGAAATGATTGTAAAGCATGCTCACCTTAGAGAATTTTAGATACACATTTAGAATTTGTTTTAAAATATGACAATAATTTTTTTTGAAAAATAGCTTGAATTTGAGAAAAAAAACTGAGTAAAGGATTTCATTCATTAAAAACGTTACTATTAATAATCAGAGGTCGTGGGGCCCCCCTTCGAAGAGAGAGGACATTTATGAGCTAACATCAGTGTGCAGGTTTGATGTCAATCCAATGCATGCCTCTGTTTTTCCTGTATAATCCTAAACTATGCATGGGACTCTCTGTTCTACCTTCTGACCTTTACCTTTCACTGTTTATTGTTTTCACTCCTGTGTTGTTGAGGACATTCCCATACATCAGTGCACACACTCATAAAGCATAAAAAGCATGTTTATATGTGGGATGAACTTTTCTGTAACCTTTGCAATGCTAGAGAAAGCCAGAAAAATATGCTTGTCAAACTGAGTATGACACTTCATTTCAGGTGTTTATTTTGATTGTATGATATAGTAAATGGTTTAAATGTGTAGGCTGAAGGTTACATATCAAGGTAATTCTAAGAAACAGTGGTATGGTAAGGTCATCATATTTGCTATTCAGTACAGACGAACTTCAGTATCTTGAACTCTAAGTCTTTTATATCAAATACCATTGATACCTGGTATGTCAAAGTGATTTGAAAGTCCCAGCCAATTTTTCTTGTATTTCAGCCTCAATATCTTAAACCATCGGATATATCTGTTTTTGTGAGATATAACATGATTGGCTGTACATGTATGTAAAAAAAAAAAAACAGAAGCAAAATGTACCTCTAGGTGTCCATGCAAAAACAACAAAATGTTTTCATTCGGTCTGTTTTAATCAGTTAAGTTCACTTCCAAGAATTAGTAGTTTCAACTTCGCAGTGACATTGTCCTTTATTTTTAGTTTTGAAAAAAGGGGCTGGGTTTTATCTAGTGTTTTACTAGACTGATTTATGTTTGTTTAATCAATACATGTAGATATTAATCAGTGTGGTTTTTTTTTTACTTATACTCTTTGCATTTCTTAATATTTTTAACTTTGTACCCTTGTTTACCTTCATTAAAGGGATTTTATTAGACTTAGAGCAGTATTCTTTAAAAAATTCTCACAAGATTTTTTTTTATACATGATTTAAATAAAAAAAAATTCAATGTTTAATTTGAAAAATAAACAACAGCAAAAAAGCACTGGACCCAGGTGAAGGCCGCTGTAAATTACTGTGTACAATTTGCACATGCTTGCCTTTAGTGGAAAATACAATTCTCCTCACACCGATTTTTGGTTGTTGTTTTTTTTGCACAGAAATATGATGAATTATACTCCGTTTCAATTAGATTTGTTTTTCTGCACTTGATTTTTTGCTTTAACCCTTTGGCTTGAATTGATTTGCTTGATGTGGCTATACTCTAGTAAACATTAAATTGTATCAATTGATTTCTTTTATTAATAAGAGAAAAAAATGTTATTCAATACATACTATAAATAGCTATTTTTTATCAGGTTTTCTGTCAGTATTTAACAAGATTTGTAATAATCATCAAATCAACTATAAAACTTTTAATGTATTGTATACTGATCTCATATTTACTATTTTTCAGGGCCAAGCCTGTCCGGTTCAATCAAGTCAGGAACTCCATTTCTTAAATCATTTGAAGACTTTAAAGCATTCCAGAACAAAATACATTCTCAATATACCAAGGTACCAGTACCCCATTGAACTAATATTCAAGGGAACCAGTATAAGGGAACTATTTTAAAGACCAAACACTGAAATTTTTACAACCATTTGTCATGTTATATTTTTTTCCTGAACATCAAGCCACTTATCTAATCATGTTTTATTCAAGAGATTTTAAATCAAAAATACTATTTTGGGGGGATTTTAACATGAAGTTTGCAGTATTGCATATTGTAGTTGGTTTTTGTAACATATTTTTATTTGTTTTTGTTTGATTTTATCCATTTATTTATTTATTGTAGACGACTGGGTTAGTGATATTGTATTAAAGACATTTAACAATTGTTACCATTTTTTTTTATTAACAAAGACCTAAAATTTCAGCTAATTCATTTGTTTCATAATCAACACAGATATACACAGAGTAGCTGGTATATAATGAATGGCGCAAAGTTTGACAAATTTTTGTCAGACTCAGTCTAATCATCCCTGGGTGTCAGTGGGTGATGATCTTTGAGAAATACAACAAACTATATAATCTTTGGTTAGGAATTGATTTATTTGCTGACTTTAATATGGGCATGTGAAGTCAACAAGAGAGAAAGCTATGACAATGAATGCGTATGTACTTCTGAATGCAGGGCTATTTGTACTACAATGACATAAAATTATTGTCAGTTCCGTACTGTGTCGAGCTGATGTAAGGAACGGTATATTTTATCATGCAAAGCGACATTGATATTAAAGAAAACCAAGGTACTACAGTACCTCAGCAACTTTAAAACGATTTGTTGTTATGAAGATGAGATTCCGTCATGCATAATGTCACATATAGTTCATTATTAGAATTCTAAACATAGAATCCTCCATCTACGGTTCCACTGTTGTTAGGGGTGTTTGAATTCCGTTGATAATGGACTGTTCTATGTGGATTTCATATGGTACAGACATTGTCCTCTGGGTGTTGTCAAATTGACCCATGACAACTAAACTGTCTTTGTGTGTTGTTGCTGTTGAATCTATAAATAGAAGAAAATATGAAGACTGCATTTATCTAAGTCCATCATGAATCCTATTTTTGCAGTATTTAAGGAATAACTGTCTAATTTTTTGTTTTCATGATCAATCGAGTGGCTTGCGTGATAATTTGCATAAACGCCGAAGGTGTGTGCATAAAATTGTCACGCAAGCCAACGATTGATCATCGTCATGAAATCAAAAAAAAAATCTGACAGTTATTCCTTACATTTACATGCTCTTGATTCCGCAAATCCACGTGCTAGAAGCCCCGCTGCTGTCTCTGTCTCGCCACGCACGCGCCTATCGATAAGCCAGTAGATTTACGAAGAAATAAAGTGCATTTACTATTTGTAATTTTATCTCGGACAAAGACTATTTATAGTTTAAATAGACTAAAACGAAAAAAAAGAATCTTTCTACAACAAACAGACTCATTTTTTAGTTCTGGTTAAAGGAAAAGTCGCCCGCGTGGCGCAGTGGTTAGAGCGTCTGCTCTAGAGTCGCGAAGTAAGGCGTCGATCCTTACATCGCGGGTTCGAATCCCACTATGGGACGTGGAGATGAGACCGTATAAACCGAGGTCCGGTGTCGCAGAAGGTGCTGGAACGAAAAAGATCACTCTCTGCTCAATGGCCCCAAGTGCCGAGTATAGGACAAAATTTGCAGCTCTCCACTGGCAAGCGTCTCCATATGAGTGAAAAATTCTCGAGAGGGACGTTAAACAGTAAACAATCAATCAATCGACAAAGAAAATAAACAATGAATAGACCACAACGAAAAAATAAGCCCACCTGCTACAAGCCTGAAGTTATTACTGTGCTGCCCGGCTTTTGTACAAAATTTAGCTATTTTATGGTTTAATTTGGCCAGTTCCGCAGTGGAAATACGATTCATCTCGTCTGCGACAAATCGTTTGGGCGTGCCTGTGGAAACTGGTGAGTTCTATAAAATAAAATTATGTACATTTGTGCAGGAAGAATTGTGAAATTTGCACTTCAAACATATTTGTGATAATAATATCTTATAAACTTCATCAAATACATACTAAGACACGATTTTGAAGCTCCATCTTGGCATCTGCGAGAGTGACGCCGGTATTTGTAATGAAGCAGGCCTTATCTCTACCAGCGAAAAATTGTCTGAGTTTTCTTCTCCTCTCCCTTCTAGTCATCTCAGCTTGCTCCCCTGCCCCCTGTATCGAAGCAGGGAGCTCGCCAGTGGTGGGAAACTTGGTTCGGAAAGCAACCATCCCCTGTAAAAACACACGGAATATACTGTATGATCGATTAAGTTACCTCGAGTGTTTGACATGCATTCTTGAATTATGTTGACAAACAGGCTAGAAGGACAACAAAAATAGGAAATTTATGCTTGGTCAGTGGCCGGCCAAATGCCATTTTTATATCGCCGAGCATGACTTGTGGTCAAATATCCATCAAATAAATCACCCACATCGCCACTAAAAGTACACGAGGCGTGTGTCATTTACGCTACACACAAACTTAATAAAATTTTGTTTTATATATATGTACTAGTATATACAGTGTGACTGTACCAAGGAGGTAGTTTACTGATAGTTTTAACTACGGAGCTACCTATATACATGTACATGTATATCAGTAAAAGAAAAAAATGTTTGACCTTAGAATTGTAATGAATTCGTTTGTGAAAAAGAGAATTCAAAAATCATATTCTTAATGTCAGACGACACGCTCCTCAGTCCTCAATAATATATAACCTCAATATTATCATAATTTTTTAAGACTTTCTCAGGAGTATTGATACATTTACAACTTTCATCCTTAAAAAAAAAATGAGGGTTGCAATGTACACACCTCATATATTTTTCTCTAAGAACTTCTCATAGAAGTCTTGATACACTTACAAGTTTCCTCACCTAAATTCGGTACCTTAGTTACCAGGTATTTGTGCAAAATTTATTGGAAATCTCTTGAATGACCATTAAAATATTATTTTACGTTATATATTTTAAAGACATTTTGAGATAATTAGGTGTTCACCACATAACGAGAAAAAGTCGAGACCTACCGTTTCGAAGTCGATCAGAGTCGTGGATTTGTCGAAGCCTTCGTTCTTAAGGTCCCTGTCTCGGGATTTCATCAGAAGAATATTTTTACTCCCGGCAAGATACGCTGTCTCATTCACCATTGTGTTCGTGGGCAAGGTAGTGACCCATTTGTAAGGCGTCAACTACAATAAATAAATAACACTAATTTAAAAATTTAAACAGATGATATTAAATCTTTAAAATAAAATATTGGTTTGCTATTTATAAGTTCAAAAAACTTCAAATTAAAAAACAAATTATTTCCTCTTTTATAGTCCTCCTCCCCCACTGTTAGTATATTTTTAAGAAGAAGATGCTGTCATTTATTTTACTGTAATGTTAAACTTTTTTTTTCAAAAAGTAATTAAAAATACTCTGATTTATGTATATGTATTTTTTTTTTATTAAAAGTAATTTGTTGATTCGAAAAGAGAAAATAAAACGTTAACGATCACTTACCCCGAACGCTTCGGAGACCTCTTGCCAGTTTCTTCGGAAGCTCCTGGCTTCATACAGCTTCTGTAGCAGAGTGGGTTCTCCGGGCTCTGCCTGGGCATTCGTTGTCACGACAAAAACTGCAAGCGGTAGGAGGAATCGGAGAGACATCTTTACCGAAGTTAGCCGTGAACTGGATTGTGCATCCTTTCTGGGAAGGGGGTTTATATACAGTACGAGGAAATTTTAACCTGCCACGAACAATTAATTGCATGGCTGTTTCAACTCAAGGTTATATGATACGTCCAAAGAAAGCCCCGGGGCCTTCTTTGACGTCACTTTGGGCACCAAAAGTGGTCATACCTGTGATCACCTGATCTAAATAAAAATGTGACCGAAAAACGATGACCCCCTCTGACGTGAAATTAGAAACAAAAAAAAAGGGTGGAGCATAATGAATTACAAGATAGTGTACAAGAAGAATATTTTGATTCTTTTTTATTGGTTGCCCTTCATGTTTGGCTTGCATTGGAATCGACTCCAACGGGAGGCAGGCAGAACTCACCAACACCATATAAGATTAATAATCGTCATATCATTTGTCCTCGGTCATGCAGGTTAAATACAAGTTGGCAGCGAGTTCCTCCCATGTCCATTTACACTAAGGTGCGCATACGTTTCATTATGATGTATTTTCATTGTCAGTTAGCCATTAATAGGGGACCAACAAATATTGACCATACATGTAGATATAGAATGTTTTTGTTGACAACACCGTCTAGTCAAACACCTTATATTCGTGTTCAACCTTTACATTCACCTTTATATTTTTCCCAGACCCTATTTCGCTTGAAAAAATGTGGAACACGTTTATATTGCAAATGACAACACGCGATTAACAATTCAAATTTCTAAAATGATTTAAAGTTTGAGCTTTTTAAAACATTACTTCAAATTTTTAGATTTAAAAAAAAAACTCAAACTGATTTTATATATTGAACTTTAGCATTTTAGTCCAAACCCCAAAATTTCAACAAAAACAGGTTTTAAAATTTCGAATACTTAAGATTTTTACCGGTATCTTAAATATTGAAAATTCAAAGTTCCAAAAACAGTTTTGAACTTTTGAGTGAAAACACTTTTGGTCAAGCAATTGAACTTTTAGATATTTAGAATATAGAATTCATATATATATATATATATATATATATATATATATATATATATATATATATATATATATATATATATATATATATATACAGTGGCGTAGCAGCTAAAGTCATTGTTTGAACATTCAGCTAGGGTTTGGTAATTTAATATTTTGGATAACAAAAGTGAAATTCTAAAAACTCAGTGCTTGGTTATTCTAAATTTGAATTTTGAATCAAAGTCCTTTATTTCTAATAATCTAAAAGGATTTGAGAGTTGAAATTTATAGGTTTGTAGTACATTCTGAAATAACAAAAGACGTAAAATAATACTGAACTTTCTGAACAAACGAAAGATTAAAAAAAATCATAAGTTCAGGGAATTGAATACCGGTATATAGGATAAATTTCTAAAAATGAAATATTTTAAAGGTGGTTAGAAATTTGAAAATTTAGATTTTTAAACTGAAATACCGGTATTCAATAAAATAGGAAATAATTTTGAGTTTTAGAAATAAAGAAATTTCATCCTATTTTTTAAAATATAAAAACTCGAAATAATTTTAGAAAACTGAATTGTTAAGCGTTACACGGACCAAATGCCGTTGAACATGTGCAAGCGTCGTATTCTCATTTAATTCTTGTGTATGTATGTATGTGTGACCCAGCAAAAATACTTTAAAAAAAGATATTGACATCTTTTAAAAGAAATCCAAATGAGGATACAGTTTTATGGAAGGTGAACATTTTTCGAGTAAATCTATTTGTACCGAAAAATCTTAAATCATATATTTTTACCCACCAAAATCAGACAAAAAGACTTGTAGCCCATTTTCACTAGCCAAGGGATTCTTATCCGTTTTTTCCTCACAGACCATGACGCTATCATACCAGGTAAGTCGAAATTCATTGTTTATCTCACGTTATCTTAAATGATATACCGGTACTACACGGTTTTAATTGTGAGAAAAACAGATGATCACAAATCTTTGGCTATAGCGAAATTGCTATTTTTTGTATTCATATGAAGCAGAATTTGTCCAAAATCTTGTACATGAAAAGAAGTAAATACTTGCTGTGGCCTTCAACTCGACGTTCAGAAATATTTACGACGTGTTGTCAATTAAAAATGGATATTTTCATTCTGATGTCGATACGATATATCCCGGTTACTTTGAGATAAAAGATACCACAGAGTCTGACACATTTGTTTCATATTTGGATATTTTACTTGATTAAGACGTTAAAGGTAATCTAACAACCAAGCTCTTTGATAAACATGATGACTTTATTTTTTCAATCGTCAACTTCCCTTACTTATGCAGCAATTACTTCATCAGCTGCATACGGAGTTGATATCTTTCAGATGATTCGATACACAAGAGCATGCTCTACATATGTACAATTTTTATAACGAGGTAAATTATTGACAAACAAGTTGATGAAACAAGAATATCAGCAGTCTCGTTTAAAGTCATCATTTCGTAAGTTCTATGGTCGATTCAATGACAATGTCAGCAAATAAAATTTATCAATGAGTCAAATGCTGACTGATGTTTTTCATATTTATTGTTAGTCCATTATTTACACATTGAATTAACGACGGACATTTTTATTCTTCCGACAAGGAGCACATGGTGGATGTGACCGGTGGGCAGGGTATGCTCACTCCTCCATGGCACCTGATCCCACCTCTGATGTTTTGGAGGTCCGTGTTTGCTCTGTTCCTGTTGTGCTTGAATACTGTTCGTTACTTCTATACATTTCAGTAAAATCATATCAGTTTTAAATATTCCCAACAATCAAAATGAATTTGAATTACCATAACGATACTGGATTTCAAAAACTCCATAAAAAAATCCTCACAAGGATACATATCAAGCGGGTTCTAGTAAATGTTCTCCGAAGCCTGTTTTTTTTCACTCTTCACTTTTATATTCACAGTGGCGAAGAAAAGACTTCCAGAGTACTGTACAACAATATACTCTATTCGAAAAGTTATGTTAATCAGATGTGGATGCTTTGAAAGTCTAAGAACTTTTTACTCTTTTTAGAAAAGTTGTTATCACAAAATTTTACCAAATAAATAACTTCAAAACGAAGGACCTTTCAACACTTTACAACTATTCCCCACGATAAATTAAAGCACAGGCTTTTCGAGATCATGGACAGCTATTTTTTTTTAAAATAAAAAATGAAACTTGTTCATATATTGACCTTGTTAATTGAAAATTATTTTGTTAAAAAAACATTCTGATTGTACACACGAGTAGTCTGCAGTTGATATTGAAGAAAAGATGCTTAAGTTTCGATTGAAAATTCTACATATATATATATATAGTTTTTGGAGATCAGATCTTCCAACAGTCTGTTGAAATTCTCATGGGTATCAATTGCGCCCCATTGTTAGCATATTTATTTTTGTATTCGTCTGAAGTAGAATTTATTCAAAAACTTCTACCTAAGAAGACATTTGCTATTGCCTTCATCTCGACATTTAGAACTGCGACGACGTACTATGAATTAATAATAATTACTTCCATTCATATGTCGACTCAATAGACCTCAGTGAGCTTGAAATAATAGATACTACAGTGTCTGACACTTCTGTTTTATATTTGGATATTTTATTAGAAAGGCGTTAATGGTAAGCTAACAACGAACTTTTATGATAAACATGACGTGTTCAACTTTTCATTTGTCAACTTCCTGAACTGATGTAGCAAAATACCCTTGTTACCTGCTTATTGGATTTACGTCTCTCAGTTGATTCGATACGGAAAAGCAATCTCTACGTATGAACAATTTCTTAAAAGAGGCAAGCTATTGACAAACAAGTTGATAAAACAAGGATATCAACAGTCTCGTTTTAAGTCATCGAGTCGCAAATTATTGGTTGATTCAAGCGGGTGCAGACAGTAGCTCTATAGTATATCAAATAAGGAACTAGATATTGAAGCTTTAAAAAAAACAGAGATGAGGCTGAAAAAGTTTGCTTCATATCTGGCATGTAGCAGAATCCCGATCATTTACTGATCTTAAAGTCTATCTTAGACCGTGATAATAACACCTGTTTTTTTCTTTTCTAGAGAGCAGTTAATTAAAATGTATTAAAAAGATTAGGCAATATTAAAGAATCGATTCTATAATTCACAATAAAAAAATTCAGGTAATACCATTTAAACCACAGGGGCCAGTAACATACTAAATTTGATTTTACGTAATGACTATATATACAAAAAGATATCTCTTTTTGTATATATAGTCATTACGTAAAAATCAAATTTAGTATGTTACTGGCCCTTGAGATTTAAACTTGAAATTTATGCAACGGTCTGTGACATAAAATATCTGTACAGCAATCAACTAAATGAAATGTGAAGATATCAATCTGTGATTATACTCGGATTTCCATTTAAACACTACAGATAGTGAGAAGAGCCAATATGGACCTGTGATAATAGAGCATAATGGAATCAGATGTCAAGGAGAAGAAAGCATACCCTGTCGACTAACCAGTCAATTAATTTTTGAATTAATATAATGAGATTTTGTTCTGCAAATAATACTAAGTACACTTACTATAGCAAGCTCACAGTCATTGAAACATAAAACTTTTCTTTAAAAATATAAGATTATACGACATGATTATACTTGTATGCAACAGCTTAATTGCAACTTTTTTAAAAAAAATTTTAAGGAAACCATGCTATATGTAATAAAACTGCTGATACCAAGCACAATCTCGTCTTTGTTAAATACATGCAGTATCCAGAATTCATTATCAAACAATATATTGTATGCATATTATAGAGATTTATTTCAGAAAAAAAATAAGTCACATGTTCATTCTTTTTTAACACTTCTATGATTGTTTATATGAAGTTTTCTAATTCACACTGGCTCAGACGTGACTTTGTCCATAACTGTTTGTTCAATGTGTATTGTATACGGAACTGATGCGCGAGCCTGCGCTGTGTCTATCTGACCCATGAATTTCACTTCCTGGTAAGTTGAAGTTGGAGTTGTGACAGGAGCACCTGGGAAGTGATACAAAAAGTTATAAAACGCATTAGAGAGCACAGTAGTAGATCTATACACTGTACTAGGACTTGTGTATATGGCAAATTATTGCGCTTGCTCTGCAATCTACTCATTAAACGAAAATAAGTCTCACCTTTTTCAAGTCTGAAGTTGTTATTGTGTTCAGCAGATCTTGTACAGAAGCTAGTGACTAGAGGACTTTTCAGATTTTGTGTTAAGATGCGGTTTTGCTCTTTTGCAATAAAGTTTTGAGGTAAACCCATTTGAACCGAACCGCCCTGTAGGACAAATAGTACAAAATTTAAAAATGTGGTATTGTCTACAAATAATCAAAATTGGTGATAAAGCATTTAGAATTGTGTAACCACGAAGAAAAGGTGTAATTCAAAAAGAGGAATAGGTACAAATCTAAGACAAAAACGGAAGTCATCAAAAGCAAAAATCATAAATAAAGGTAGAAACCGTTATATCAAGACCTTTCATACACATTATACGCTTTATAAATGTATGTCCAGGTCGTAATAATAACACGATTCGTGTTTTCCTTTCTTGTAGCCCTCCGTCCACTAAACATGGCTTTATAAGGAACATCCTACAGTGTAATTTATGTACTTCTAAGCTGTATAAGTCTCTGTTTATTGAAGGGCTCATTGTTTAGGGACAAATTGTTTAGTTCTGTAATATTTTGTTAAAGAAATATTAGTATTCAATGGAATCCCAAAGTATTAGACCTTTGAAGATTTTAAGAAAAAAACTTACAGTAACGCGTTTTTGTAGCTCGCCCTTGACAGCTGCCCGATTGAGTCTTGGATCTGTATGGATGAAACACATCCTGTCTCTGTCTTTGACCAGGTCTCTGAGTTTTTTTCTCTTTTCACGTCTTGTCATCTGTGGGTCAACCATTGAAGCTGGGAGCACGGTAATTGAGGTAGGAACCCTGATGCGGACTGCCATTTCTCCCTGAAGCGACAAAAGAGTTAAAAAATAAGGATAACGTAGACTACGTAACATAGGGTTTTTTCTTTCATATTGTGAAGACCATTGTCTTCACCTCTTCGGGAATATATTATTTGGTCAACAAGAAAATGAAAATGATGGGGTGAAGTTTGAATTAAACCTTACCCTCAACTAATGCAATAATGATTAAATTTAACTGAAAGTTTTGTTCATTTTCATACAACAGTGAACCATGTGCGCCTACGTTTTACGCCGCCATTCTTTGGAATGTCACTTGTCGTCAAGCAATGACGACTGCGTACTGTTTCAAACATTATGGAGGATTATGGTTTCATCATTCAGAGATTAACAGTGTTTTCTGAACATTTTTTTTTTGGTGATAGTAAGTAAGTCTCACCGTCAAAAGGTCGATCACAGAATCCACTATCTCGTAACCTTTTTTCCTGATATCTCTGTCACGAGATTTCATTGCGACAATGTTGTTTCTCTCTGACAACCACGCTGACTCGTTATAGAGTTGTCCAGTCACGTTAGCAGTCCACGTGTAAGCCACGAGCTGAAAGTTGTAATATACATATAAAAATAATGATCAATTATTATATTGAAAACAATATAAAATTATAATTATAATGTACTAATAAAAAAAATATTTTTAGTGCAAATGCCAAATATGAATACTGGTAAATTTTTCACATAGGTCCATTTCCCCACACGTACAAACATTTAAAAGTAGAAATCTGCCGATTTGGTTTTAGTGAAGTAATAATTTACTTAAAACAAATTCAAAGATATGTTTCACCCCTTTCTTTCAAAATGATTAGACAAAAGAGGAAAGCATAAGAAGTTAAAAAAAATACCTGATATATTTTAAAATTTTCCAAAATTTAACGCTTTTCAGTACATTAATTCAAAACTTTCGTTAACAAAAATATGAACTTTTAAGAGCACGAAATAATCAGAGAAAGAGTACATGGACACAAGTAGGTATATTTACCCCAACATCTTGTGTAAATTGTTTCCAGTTCCTCTCTTTTAGCATATCTATGGCTTTGGGATCTCGTTGTGTTTGGGCATTTGTTGTCACCAAAGTTACCGCGAGCAGCAGAAAGGGCCTCAAAGACATCTTGCTCGGACTGAACTTCCGATAAAGTGAAATGTGTGAGGCTCACTTTGTATGCATCATGAGATAAAAGGGTGTCAACTTATATATAGCATGACGAAAATTTAAATTTATTTCAAGGACATGTGATGTGTTTCAGTGATAACACGGGACACTTTCTAATTACATTTTAACTAATTAATGACCAAGATGCTGTCTTGAATCATCATTTTTCTTGCTTAATTTCAATGACAATATATCAGTGAAGCTCAATCCAAAGTAAATTTTTAGATCATGCTTCAGAAATATATTTAACTCCAAAAGAGAAAAAAAACCAACATACACATAGTTATCGTGCTTTCTCATTAATTAGACTTTTTTTTTAATGATATTTTTTTTTAAAGTCTGTTTCTCAAAAGGTTAATACAAATTATTTCATATTTAAAAAAGGACCGTTTTAGTGAAGCATATTTTGAAAAATCTATGACCATGGTATTATTATCACTTCTTTTTTTGTTGATCGTAAAAACATTTTATATACAAAATCACATGACTAATGACATGAAAAAATAAATCATTTTGAATTATGTGACTTTTGTTTTTAAATCTTGTTTTTTCCCCAACTGCCAGAAATATGTCGGCGTACTTTAGTAATAAATTACAGAATAAACACTTCTACGTAGTTTGAAAATACTTTTAGAGTCAAATTAAAAGAAAGAAATATCAAACATTATGTTGTGTTGAGTGATACATATGAAAAAATGATAACACTTGACAAATTTAAATAATCCCTTTTTATAAATTATACTGTTTCTTTACTCTTTATCATCGATCACTGTTTGTAATATTCAACTTTTTTTTTCATTTTTATGTATGAAATTTAATTGTATAGGCAAAACCTAAAAACTTCTTACAACAAATTTTTTTAGCAGGTATGTCTAAATCTTAATTATCAACAATTTTAAGGCATGATTTGTCGATACTTTTCAATATCCATTTGCAGTTTATGCAATTACTGATTAATACTTACTACATTGTTAAATGTATATCTTTGAGTCTTACTGCGAAACATGTGGAGATATAACGAACTGTATTCAAGATCAAAAGTCAAAATCATAAAACAATACAAAATAGCAGAAGAGCAAACACGGACCTCAAAAACATCAGATGTGGGATCAGGTGCCATGGAGGAGTGAGCATACCCTGCCGATCGATCACACCCGCCGTGCTCTCCTTGTCAGGATCCGAAAATCACAGAAAAATCCGTCGCCAATTCAGTGTATAAATAATGGACTGACAATTAGTATGAAAAACACCAGTCAGTATTTGCCTCAATGATAAATTGTATTTGCTGACAGGTCATTGTATCGACCATAGAACTTGCGAATGATGACTTTAAACGAAACTGCTATTCTTTTTTCATTAACTTGTTAGTTGTCAATAATTTACCTCGTTTTAGAAATTGTTCATAGCATGCCCTTCGTATACAGGTGATGAAGGTATATTGCTACATACAAGTAAGTACGATTGTAAAGTTAAAGTCATCACGTTTATCATACAGCTTGGTTGTTAAATTACCATTAGCTTCTTTTTTCAAGTAAAATATCCAAATATAAAGCAAATGTGTCAGACTCTGTGGTATCTTTTCTCTCAAGCTCACCGGGATACACGTATATCGTATCGACATAAGAATGTCGACCATTGTTAATTGATAATACGTCGTCGATATATCTAAATGTCGAGTTGAAGGCCACAGAAAGTGTTTTCTTCTTTTCACGTATAAGATTTTGGACAAATTCTGCTTCATATGAATACAAAAATAGGTCTGCTAATAACGGGGCGCAATTGGTACCAATGGGAATTCCAATACATTGTTGGAAGACCTGGTCTCCAAAAACAACATAGATATTGTCAATCAGAAACACAAGCATCTTTTTGATGTCGACTCCAGACTACTTGTTTGTACAACCAGAATGGTTTTAACAAAATAATTTTGCAAATGACCTATGACAAGGTGAGTATATTTACGAGTTTCATTTCTATATAAAAAGCATCTGTCAATGATATCAAAAAGCATGGACTTTAATTTATCATGGGGATTGATTGATCGTGTATTGTTTAATGTCCCTCTCGAGAATTTTTCACTCATATGGAGATGCCACCACTTGCCGGTAGAGAGCTGCAAATTTTGTCCAATACTCTGCACTCAGGGCCATAGAGCAGAAAGAATTTTTTTCGTACCAGCACCTACTGCGACACGGGACCTCGGTTTGTATGGTCTCATCCGAAGGAACGGTCTCTACGACCCACAGTGGGATTCGAACCCGCGACGTAAGGATCAATTCCTTACTTCGCGACTCTAGAGCAGACGCTCTAATTTCCAAGCAGACGCTCTAACCACTGCGCCACGCAGACGACCTTATCGTGGGGTATGGTTGAGTATAATGTTGAAAAATCGTAAGTTTTTAAGCTGTTGATTTTGGTAAAATCCCGTGATTTCAAATTGTCCAACAGTTCTTTGGAATTTTTAAGTATCCACATCTGATTTGCACCGCTTCTTGAATATATTGTGGCACAGTACTCTTGAAGTTTCTCCTTCACTACCGTTAATATCTTAGTGAGGAGTAAAGAAAGAGGATTTGTTGAACATTTACTGGAACCATATGTATCTTTGTAAGGATTCTTATGAAATTTCGTAATCCAATATATATACATATGGTAGTTTAAATTCATTTTGGTTCTTTGGAATATAAAAAATATTTAAAACTGACATATGATTCTGAAGAATTTCTTTCTTAGAACGGGAACTATGAGTATAAGATGGATTACAAGTAGAATTGGTACCAATGGGAATTCCAATAGATTGCTGGAAGTCGTGGTCTCCAAAAACAACATATATATATATTGTCAATCAGAAACTCGAGCATTTTTCTGATGTCAACTTCAGAGTACTTGTGTGTACAATCAGAATGATTTTTAACAAAATAATTTTGCAAATGACCTATGACTAGGTAAGTAAATTTACGAGTTTCATTTCTATATAAAAAGCATCTGTCAATGATATCAAAAAACATGGACTTTAATTTATTGTAAGGAATGGTTGTGTATAAAGTTGAAAAGTCATAAGTTTTTAAACTGTTGATTTTGGTAAAATCTTGTGATTTCAAATTGTCCAAAAGTTCCTTGGAATTTTTAAATATCCACATCTGATTTACACCACTTCTTAAATATATTGTTGCACAGTACTCTTGAAGTTTCTCCTTCACTACCGTTAATATCTTAGTGAGGAGTAAAGAAAGAGGATTTGTTGAACATTTACTGGAACCATATATGTATCTTTGTTTGTAAGGATTTTTATGAAGTTTCAGAATCCAATATAGATACGAAAGTTAAAATTCGATTTGGTTCTTTGGGATCTTAAAAATATTCAAAACTGACATATGATTCTGAAGAATTTCTTAGAAAGGGAACTATGAGTATAAGTTGAATCCAAGTTCTTCTAAAATACTATTTATATAATGAGCTTTACACACGATGCCAATGTTGTAAGCTGCTTTGTCAGCAGGGACCAGTACATACTAATCATGTAATCTACCTAATTTTTTTTTTCACTTCTGGGTTGTTGAATACAATAAATACAGGCTTTCAATGTTTTATACATGTAGTTTGATATTGAATTAATTTCATGAGTGGGACAGGATTTTTATTTTTAGAGTGCAGAGCACGTTTATTTTGGTATTTTTCAAAATGTGAAAGAATATAATTTTGATATCTTTTTATCAAAGAGTGAAAGAATATTACTTTTATTCCATCAATAAATTTCAATATTTTACAGTTGAAAATGTATTAAAACCATTTATGTGGCATATATCATCACATCACACCTAGGAATAAGTGTAATTATCCAGATAACGACATTACTTGTATATGATGAAACAACCACGGGTATGCATGGGGTAGTGCCGTTACTCTGGCGATGAATACCCGGTCATTAAAAGCTTTTAAAATTAAAAATTATTTTCCGACTACATTACACTCGGCTGCATACAGCCAGTTGTTAACTGCTTTTCTGTCAACTACCCTTTTTCCCGATCATGACAAGGAGTACAAGCCATTTTGTGGCCGATGAAAAGGGGATAGTTACTACTCCATGACACCAGTTCCAACTAGGGCTGTATCAATATATATCAATATATCGATACGTATCGATATTCAAGAATAATGTCGTATCGAAAAATAACTTCCAATACGTATCGAACAGACAGTTTTTTTTTCTAATTCTGTTAAAAAATGGGAATTTCAATCATCAAAGATTATATTTCACTTTTTTGAATTAAAACAGTTCTAGATTATATAATTTGTAAGGAAATAACACAGTTTTTATAATTATTACAAAATTCAAAGAGAATTTTATTTGAACATGTAAGTTTTACTGTCATTAAAAGTTTTAATTTGAAGTGTTATTAGTAATGACAATGAGACAAGAACTTTTAAATGGGAAATAAAACACATAATTGTTATGCAATTCATGCATGAAAATGATTTAGAAGCCTTTTCTGATGGACTTGTTTTAGAATCCAGTATATCGCATATTGCTTTAAAAAATATTGTATCGTATCATATCGAAATTTTTGGCTCAATACACAGCCCTAGTTCCCACCTTTGATGTTTAAGAGGTCCGTGTTTGCTCTGCTTCCGATCTGTATTGTTAAGATAAAAGGGACTGCATAAAGATTTATTAAATAAAGAAAAGTCACAACATTCCTCCTTCAAACGAATGAAGTCGCCCGCGTGGCGCAGTGGTTAGAGCGTCTGCTCTAGAGTAGCGAAGTAAGGAGTCAATCCTTACGTCGCGGGTTCGAATCCCACTGTGGGACGTGGAGACCGGTCCTTCGAATGAGACCATATAAACCGAGGTCCCGTGTCGCAGTAGAAGCTGGCATGAAAAAGATCCCTCCCTGCTCATGGCCCTGAGTGCCGAGTATGGGACAAAATTTGCAGCTCTCCACCGGCAAGTGGTGGCGTCTCCTTATGAGTGAAAAATTCTCGAGAGGGAGTTAAATAATATACAATCAATCAATCAATGAAACGAATAAAACCATTTGCATTTCTACTTATAACCTTTTTCAAAGTTTTTTTCATTGTTCTGAGAAGCACTTCCCTTATAACCTAGTTCCTGATATTTCTGTTTGGTTTCTGCTGGGTGTAACAACAGACAATCAGACAGACAGATTAATGCAGTTTTGCGTACCTGTTGACATACCAAGTACACCGAATTTTTATTTAATTCCCATGGTAAGAGCTACTGTTCAAAGTTGTTCATGTCTCAATGTTGAATTTTAAGACATTCCTTTGGAGCACTAACAACTAAAAATGTTCTGTAATAATTTTGTTAAAGTAATACCATTTCAGATACATGTGTCTAGTTCTTTTCTTATTAATTTTAAACACTCGCTGTCCTTCGTATGAAACTTCTTCCTTATAAAGGTTGTCTTGTTAAGGTTTCTGTTGTCGGAATGTACGGAAAACATAGATCTATGAAATGTGAATGGATGTGGAAATATTACATAGTGGATATACTAGTATGCCATTCTATTAAGTGAAAGGTGACTCAAAGTCCTCTGAAAGATAACTGAAAAGCAGAGCACTGCAATTTAATATTCCCAGAGACCCAGGTTTCAGTTTATTGAATGGTGTAGGCTGATCGTATAATTATGTATTTATATAAGGGTGTCGGCCTTATTGCATTGACAATTCCTTGCGACATATTTATCATCATGTCTACATAAACAAAAAATTGCCCATATTTAAACAAAAATAAGGAAGAAATCTTGGATAGGTAGTCTTTTTTAGATAATTCATAATAACTTCCTGTGTGCATAATAAATATCAATTCATATACATGAAGTTAAAGCTTATTTCCCAGCTGCTTTATAAATGTGTATGCAATGAAGACTATAATCTACATAATCTCAATTTCTATAAGAGGAAAACTCTTGACAAGTCACCTGATGATAGATGGATATCAATTTGATAGTCCTGTTATTTAAAGTCACTGTTTTGCCAATTCTGTGTTGGACAGAATCATCATGTCAACAAATACAATCTATCATTACGTCGCTATCATTAATGAATTACAAATAATTAGCAACTATTTTTACTCTGAATTTCCATATTTTTACTGTGGATATGAGATGATTAACCCTCAGATGGTGACATTTGTAGAAATGCTTTAATTATTATATGTTACTCTGTTAGTTTTGTTATACTAACTATCCTGGCCCGGGTTAGTTAGAAATTGTAAACGGGTTTGCATAATGATTAATAAATTTATTTAAAAAAAAAAAAAAAAAAAAAAAAAAAAAAAAAAAACTCAATAGCAACTGATTCCAGCTCCTGAAGTTTAGCTCTGCTCCCAGTCTGTGTGGTTGCTATGAACTTTTAAGCTTAGTTATTGTTCGTTATCTTTATACATGGCTTAATTAACTACAAATACATTTGTAAGTATTATACGTTTTACGTGTTCGTAAGTATTACGTTGGATCAAGGTTATGGAAGTTTCATAACATAAATGGTTGACATTTGACATTTACCTTGGACAACCGGTGTTTATTTTTTGCCAACTGAAGCGAAGGTAAATCTCTGTTAGCTCCGCCCAAATGTCCTGCTCATGCATTGGCTGATCTTAAAGGTGGATCTTAGTCCAGGACAAAAGCGTATGCTTTAGGGGGAAAATACTTGGTAGTTCATTCACATAAATTTTAAAAGATGAATAAAAAATATTCACATATATTTTATTTTTTTTTATTAAGATCAGTACAGTTTAACATATCATTTTTAAACTGCATGTCTGCAACAATCTGTGACATGAAAAAAATTAAAATTAGCGATCAATCGCACGAACCATAATGGACCTCTTAAAAAGTAGACTGTTCGATTCGCCAGTAATGGTTTGCATTCTCTCGGTCACATAGTGACAACTTTTATCTCGCCAATAATTTCTTTTTAAAAAAATTACATTGCATAACATCATTTACTAGTAGTAATGTAAGATACCTTACTTGCAACTTTATGTTGTCAACTGAACATGTAAGAACATTATTCTACACATGCATTTGCTTTTGGTTGGCTAATAGAATACAATCTCAACTTCGTAAAATACAGGATAAATATTGGCGTAATATTTTCGATGACACAGTCATATGTTTTTTTAAGCATTTGTATGAATGTATATATATTTTTCTGTAATTTACACCGGTTCGGACGTGACTCCGTCCATTATTTTTTGTTCAATGTGTACGTTATATGGAATTGACGTCCCGGCTTGTGCTGTGTCTATCTGGCCCATCAATTTGATCTCCTTGTAAGCTGAGGCTAGAGTTGCCGCGGGAGCACCTGGAAATGAATAGGATGCAAGTGTAAATGCATGAAAAGAAAGAGAAAGGGGTTTAAGGTTGGATGGGGTAAATTATTCAAAAGATGCTATAGTCTCACCTTTCTCAAGCCTGAAGTTGTTATTGTGTTCAGCAGACTTTAAACAGAAACTCGTGACCAGCGGACTTTTCAGATTTTGTGTTAAGATGCGGTTTTGCTCTTTTACAATAAAGTTTTGAGGTAAACCCATTTGAACTGAACCGCCCTGAGGTAAGAAAAAGAAAATGAAATCAAGAAATAGTAATTTGCGGCACATCTCGTGATTGATGGGATTAAGTTTTTGAATTCTACAAATAAAAGATATTTTTTTGAGAAAAAAAACATACAGCAACACGTTTTTGTAGCTCCCCCTTGACAGCTGCCAGATTGAGTCTTGGATCTGTATGGATGAAGCACATACGATCTCTGCCTTTAACTAAATCTCTGAGTTTCTGTCTCTTTTCACGTCTTGTCATCTGTGGGTCAACCATTGAAGCTGGGAGGGCAGTAACTGAGGTAGGAACCTTGAGTCGAATTGCCATTTCTCCCTGAATCAATAAAAATAACAACATTGAAAGTGGAGTCTTGTTGTAAATATTTTTTACGGGAAAATTGTTGTCCCAGTTTTATTTTTGCTTTTTGTGCTCTCAATGAAAGTGGGAAAATTAAAATGGCGAATTTAAAGAAGACCGCTTCATCTGCTTAAATTAGCACTTAACTGTGTCTGGGTGCATTTAAAATTGGCAAAATGCTAAGGTTTGGTAGAACATTAGCACTTAACTGTGTCTGGGTGCATTTAAAATTGGCAAAATGCTAAGGTTTGGTAGAACAAAAATAACCATATATTTAGTATGTCATGATACCTCTGTTACAACGATATCCTAATATTAAAACTCCAATAAGATTATATTGTTTGTTTACGCATGAAAAAAATCATACGAATTCGGTCTATACTTTTACAAAGATCAATTCAAGATCAGCATATTCGTAGTTTTTTTTTTTGTCTCAAAAGAGATTAAGAATTTGGTATTACATGTATTTTCCATTTGAATAAGCTGTATATATGTGAATTAAGAAAATGAACTGCATGTAGTTCTTCTATATATTTCGTTAATATTTCTGAGGAGAAAATTAAAGTAAATCAAGTGGGACAAGGGGTATTTCTATTTATTATAAGGCAAGATTTCACAATCCTTTTATTATCAAATAAATAATTATATTTCTAGCATTTAAAGGTACATTGTACATGTTTTATCTCTGTAAAATTTTTGACCTGAATAAAAATGGTATTAGATTATAATAAAAAAAAATTGTGTAATTCGTGAATATAAATTAGTAAAGTGTATATAATGTGTTGAAAAAAAAATATCGTAAAAATCATAAACAGATGCAAATCTAATTTTTTAATAATTGTTACAAGCAAAGAAATCATGTGATATTATTGCAGCGCCAATTAAGACAAAAATACATTCATTTCTATTTTTGTAAACCAAAATTATTATCTTCTGTGTCAAATGCTTCAATTGTATCTGTAAAAAAAAAAACCGCCCCTTTTATGCGTGAAGCAACTTTTTCAGAATTCGAAATAGACAAAATCTCGCATGTGACTTGTTTGAAGTAGATACAAATGACAGGCAATAAAACATGGTTTATATAAAAATAACAGGAATTAATAAGAATCTTATTTAACAAGAGGAATATTATCACTCCGAACATTTTGACTACTTGCTTTCTTTCCTTTCTTCAGTTCAAGAAATTCACGACCTTATAAGTTATCGCCTGCAAACTATATACTCGTACAGTAGACCTTCAGATATCCGGATGCCAGATATCCGGATGCATCAGTATCCGGATGATTTTTCATCGGAACAGAATTTGTTAACGTTATTTTGTCTTGTTTAACTGGTATTTCAGATATCCGGACACTTCACATATCCAGACAAATTGACTGTACAAACAATATATAATATCTGGCCTGGTCTTTGCATTTTGACTAAAAATCAACAGGGATCTTTTTAGTCAACAAGTTTATCTTTTAAAAAAAAGATATGTGATCTAGCGCCGTAGCAATTTTTAAACACAGAAAGGAGTATCCGTGGTCACGTGATTTATTTTGCTGGTTTTAATTTTAATCGAGGCTGGAGAGTGATCAATAAAGTTATAATTGTTTTGTGAACTGTATTTTATAGACACATAGGTAAAGAAACGGGGTAGGGGGTGTTGACCTATTGGAGTTTTGGTGCAACGGAACATTTATGACCTTTACTGGAGAGAGGAGACTCTTTATAATATGGAGAAGATTCCGATTGAGGCATTGTATGAGCTGGTTTAAGAATAGAATTTCTTGGCAGAGTAGGAAAGAAAATACAGGGGAGTTAAAAGGAATATATAAAATAACTCAAAGTGTATGTTGTATAAAGAAATCCACAGAGTTCTGAATGTGAAGATGTGAAGTAGATTGGTCCGTTGGGTCATGTTAGATTAAAAGCCATAAACATCAGAATTTTATTTTATATAAATAATGGTTTTATTCGTTATTTTTAGTGTAAATTCTTGTTTCTGGAATTTGTAAGATTGGCTGAATTAACCAATCAGAAATTGGAGTCTATCTTTGGTTGTGCTTAGACGTATAAAAAAAACCTCCCTTGTTTAGAACAATCAGATGATGACTCGGGCTTTTCCGTTAAGAAAAAACCCGGGAAATTTTAAGTATTACAAATATGTAGTTATCTTTAAAGTGTAAGCAACACAATATATAAGCATAGTTATTTAATGCTGCAACATGATACAACGAAATTGTTATCGTACGGTCTATCTATAGTTGTTTTCCCAGAGTGTACGACCGTGAAGTCGAGCATACATAATCAAGCAATTTGGACTAACGTAGTCGAGAGCGCTAGCAACAATTTAGGGTATAAAAATTTCATGGAAAAATCTCAAATAAAAATTGATTTATGTTGGATTAGTTTTCTTCCTTAACATTTTGGCCTAAACATCAAAAGGTTTTTTTCATGCCAGTGGACATTATGATACTAGTGTAAGATTTTATTGAAAAGCTCAAAAAATGAAGTTATCATCTGGAATTTTTTTTTTTTTTTTTTTTTTTTTTGGAATTTACAATCAATAGGATTCTTTGTCGGGCAATAGAAAGCTATTTTATACATTTCCATTGCAAAATTGCATTTAGGCTTTTGATGCTATTTTCCAGAAACGAAAGTTTGACAAAGGACAGAATGAATGGACTTCTGAATTTGACCTTTATATTACTGTAATAGTGGTCTTTCTTAGAAGCTAAGAAGTTATGTTAATCAATTTCATTGAAAAGGCTCAAAGAAAAAAAGTTATCATTTGATTTTTGTTTTTATAAATTTCTGGTCTTAATGTTTTTTTTAATTTGTCCTTTAGTATTTTTTGTTTGTTTGTTTTTGTTTTGTTTTTGTTTGTTTGTTTTTTTATTGTTGTTTTTTGTTTTGTTTTGTTTTGTTTTTTTTTTGCTTGTTTTGTTTTTTGATGGCAAAATCAGAGGACTAAAATTAACCTTGTAAGAATATATCATTGTGTTTTGGACATTGATATATGAGGTGAATGCTTCTCACCGTTGCAAGGTCGATCATAGTGTCAACTCTCTCGAACCCCTTCTTCCTGACGTCTCTGTCACGTGATTTCATTGCGACGATGTTGTTTCTCTCAGACAACCACGCTGTCTCATTTACGAGTTGTCCTGATACGTCTGTAGTCCATTTAAAAGCAACAAGCTTAAAAGATATAAAATAAAAAAGATGTAATACAGCTAATACTACATGTGAAAGAAATCTGTCCAGAGTTATACTACCCCGATAAAGACAAAAACTTAGAAAATTCATTGTCTGCTTTCGCTTTCTTGTTGTAAGGCAGATTTTTTTTTCAATATTTCATTTAAATAGATGTTTCTAATTTGAGATATACATTGCGGAAGACAAATACGGGTAATTCCTGATCCTCTTTTACATTTTTTTTGGCTGAAACAATGATATTGGCCAATAAACGGACATAAGTGAATTTGTTGACCAATCCTGATACGTGAAATTTGGTTTTTACGAGACTATAGCAATGTCAAGGTTCTAGTATATAAATATGTACAAGATTCGAAGGAGTGCTTTGCTTTTCCGAAGGAACAATTTATCCCCAGCAAATAAAAACAACACTTTACTTCTTTCTTCTGCATTAATTTTATCATAATAATTGCACAAAAGACTATCAGAATTGTTTTATTCTATTTTTAGCATGAATTAATATTTATAAATATTTTTTTCTTGAGGAGGATTCCAATAAATTCCTCACTTTTTTGAAAGAAAAAGGAACATGGATACAAGTACGTGTATTTACCCCAACTTCTTGTTTGTATTTTCTCCAACTCCTCTGTTCTAGCATTTCTATCACTTTGGGGTCCGGTTGTGTTTGGGCATTTGTTGTCACCAAAGTTACCGCGAGAAGCAGAAAGGGCCTCAAAGACATCTTCGGACTTCCGATGAACAGTGAAACAGTGAAATGCGCGCCAGTTATACATCATTGGATAAAAGAAGCTCATTTATATACTATGACGAAAATTTAAATTTATTGGTTTATTTTCAGGCCTAGTGTGTTAATACGTTTCATTAACATCATGGGCGTGTTCTGATCCTACTAATCAAGCGCCGATATGCTCTGTTGTTCATTTTTTGCGTGATTTCTTAAAGATTGTGGTTTTAAAAAAATCAAACCGAAGTAGGTATTTAGATCAGTACCCAAGAAGAAGCGCAAATTCCGCTAAACAACAAGAATAAAAGCAAAATAGTTGTTATGGAATTTTTTTCGATTTGATAATAATAGTAAGTTTTTTGGGGTGTTTTTGTATTAAAATGCTATACTTGCACTTAAAGTACTTCTAGTATCGCATGACAGGCTGAGTGGCCTTAAGCATCAATATCCGTACAATTTGCAAAGAATAACAGTTGAAGCTACTGATGAAGCTAAAAGAAAAATATGGCAAAAATTTTATTTCATAATTCTTGTCGGTCTAAAGACACGTTTTATAAACACGCTGTATATCACATGACGAAATGGCATACATATTTCATAAATAATCAGTTTTTAAAGACTCGTGACCAATGTTTTAATTAGTTCTTATTTACTAGAAGCAGTTCATTACCGTAATTAAGTTATGAATAACAGCTTCCAGTACTTCTACGTACGTTTTAGTACACTTTTCATATTCATCTTATTGAAAAACGCCCATAAGTTTATATTTATGTTCCCCAAACGGAGTTTGGGAACATATTGTTTTTACTCGGTTTCTTATTATTATTATTATTATTATTATTATTCTTTTTTTTCTTATTTGTTCTCCGGTACTTTTTTGTCCGGAAGTGTTCTCAGAAACTGTTCACCCAACTAAGTTAAAACCTTTTCAGGGTTAATAGGTGTGTTGTGTAGGTGTGCGGAACGAAGGTCATTTTGCGCGCATACGCATGCACGTGCGTGCGCGTGAAATGAGTGAAATGACCGATATACTTAATATGGCCATAACTTTTTCATTTTTTAATGAAATGCTTTGAAACTCATTACATAAGGATATATTAATAGTGTTAATAATATGACACTGTCAAATTAGCACGAACTCACGCGCATGCACGTGCGCCTTGCTCTGATTGGCTGAAACAAAAATCTCAATATCTCTTTTGTTTCTTAAGGAAATGCTTTGAAATTTAAAAATTTATCTTGAATTAAAACATCCTACAATATGATATGGAAACATTTCATGAAATCACGCGCATAATCGTGCGCTGCAATCTGATTGGCTGAAACTTTAAATGGCTATGTCGCCTTTGTTTTTTGACGAAATGCTTTGAAATTTAAAACATAGTCATGCATTAGGATAGCCTGCAATGTGATATACAAAAACTTTCAAGAAATTACGCGCATGCAAGTGTACTGCAATCTGATTGGCTGAAACTTTAAATGGCTATATCGCCTTTGTTTTTTGACGAAATGCTTTGAAATTTAAAACATAGTCATGCATTAGGATAGCCTGCAATGTGATATACAAAAAAATTCAAGAAATTACGCGCATGCACGTGTGCTGCAATCTGATTGGCTGAAACTTTAAATGTCTATATCTCCTTTGTTTTTTGACGAAATGCTTTGAAATTTAAAACATTGTCATGCATTGGGATATCCTACAATATCATATAGAAAAAAAATCATGAAATCACGCGAATGCACGTATGCTGCAATCTGATTGGCTGAAACTTGAAATAGCTGTAACTCCCTTGGTTTTCAACGAAACAGGATGGGATTTAGAACATAGATAGATATAAGGGCTTCCTACAAGATGGTATGGTCATAATGCACGTGCACGCACGTGCGTGCATTTGGAATGAGTGAATTAAAAATACACTTTAATGAGTAATTTTTAATACTTTTGGACTCCATGCTTTAATTTATATAGTATATTTAAATATATAGATAGTGTAGACAAGGTAATATGATAATTACGCACGTGCATTCATGTGCGCATGCGTGCACTGCTAAAATTTGAATATGATTCTTATCCTTCTCGGAAAACGTTGTTAAAGTCAAAAATGCACAGAGGTTGTCTTATTTAATAAGGCTTTCAGGGAAAATGGCACCATAAGGGAGTTGGGGAGCGTTTGGGGAACATCTGTAACGGTTCCCGTTACAATTAGCACTAGTTTATCCTTGTTTCAGTTGACCTATTGATATTTATTGCAAACATGAAAGAATATTTATCGGCATTCTTGTCAGCAAATTGCTTGAACTTATTGAGAACTTTAACAAAACAAAGCCAAAAAATCAAATTATCAAAATTCAGGTTTTGATAATAAATCTTTGTTACGTATGTCGCGGTGATTGCTTAAAAGATTTATTTCTTTGTACATGCATCAAGAGCGCATTTTTTGACAATTTTGAAAACTTTTCATGATTTTTGTGTTAAGAAATGATATACTTACAGGCATTGTATAGGTAGATTATAGAATATATTAATTATGTGCAGAAAATAAGTACGATTTATCATGTTTTGTTCGTGTCGTTGAATTTTCAATGCTTAGATTCTCAAGTTTGCTACTTTTTCAAAAAAAAGACTAGTTTTATAGCATTGTTAACTCAAAATGATGAGTCAAGTTAACCTTCTACCGTACCGTAAAATTTATTGTAGAATATCTTTTAACTCATCATGAAATTAAAAAAGATTCTGCAATTTTTACTATTTTTGACAACGTTAGCTTAAAAATAAGATTAAATTTGTATTTTCAAATACGTTTTCACATGATAGTTACTCATCAGTATAAACAATTTTAAGTGCATGTTTTTATCCTGCATTGGCACATTTATAAACAGAGTTATGAGTGATTTTATTATCGAAAGACCTCGCATGCCCGCATGTGACAGCATTCCAAGGCGAGACAAACATTTGATGTCTCTGTGTCATTGTTTTGATTTTTCACAGATTACAAGCCAGATAGCTGAGTAAGATTTCCCGACGTTGACGCTACACTTCAGTCAATAAAATATTAACCTTTCACATGAAATTTGAATATTTATTATATTTTAATATAATCCCAATTTCCACATATTTGATTTTGAAGAGTATGCTAATTTCATACTCCTGGGAGTAGGGTGCTACCACCACACCACACCACCCCCTCCCCCCCCCCCCCAAAAAAAACATATACATACTGTACACAAGAGAACAGTTACCGGTACTTTTCATTTTTTTTTTAACTCCATTTGTAACTTTTACACCTGACGAAACATGGTTCCATACTTTCACGAGTGCTTCACCTGCGACCAGTTTTTCCCCATACGATGCATGGTTTTTAGAGTTCAGGTCTTCCAACATGAATCTGTCAGAATTCCAATGGGTACCAATTGTGCTCAGCTATTACAGACCTATTTTTGTACTCATGTGAAGCTAAATTTATTCAAAATCTTATACATGAGAAGAGTAACCTTCGACTCGACATTGAGCTATATCAACGACGTACATGTATTATCGATTAGCAACAGTAGTTTCCAATCATGTATCGACATATATATTCAAGGGAGCTTGAAAAAAAAAGATATCACAGAGTCTGGCACTTTTGTTTTATATTTGTATATCTTACTAGAAAATAGATTTATAGTAACCTTACAACAAAGCTTTACGTGATGACTTCAATTACTTCTTAATCGTCAACTTTCCTTTCTCTTGTAGCAATGTACCCTTATCACCTGCATATGGGGTTATGTCACTCAGTTGATTCAAGACATTAGAGCATACTCTACGTACATAAATTTTCTAAAACGATCGAGGCAAGAAATTTACAAACAAGATGATGAAACAACAATATGAACAGTTTCCTTTTAAGTCATATATGGCGTAATTTTGATAAATTAAAAGTTGGGGGGGGGGGCTAAGTGTAAGAAAATTTTTTTTAGACCTCAAAAAAAACCTGACAAGCAAAAAAATAAAAGGAAGTGTCCATTGTCCAAACACGAAAAGCCTATTTCGTGTGTGTGTGTGTGTGGGGGGGGGGGGTTGTATAGGTTCGAACTTCAGTACCAAAGTTTTTTTCCAAACAGCACCACTTTCCCAATTTTGAATCTATACTGCAACGTGTCTGTGAAAAGTGGGGGGAGGGGGCTAAACCTACGCAGCAATGTTCAATGTCTATACTAAGTCTATCTTTGGGAAAAAAAAGGTACAATAAAAATACACGTGTTTTTATTACACCGAATAGGGCCATTCTTTAAACGTGAGAAAAAGTACAATCTGCTTGCATATAACGACATATGGATGTGTTTGTCGGGGAAATTTTATATTTTTGAGATATCTTACACTCTTACATTTTTTTTTTCATAAAAAGGGGGGGGGGGGGTATTATCCATACTTCAGGTGCCTGTGTTAAATATCAGATCTAGATACAATTTAAAGTCAATTTAACCATAGAAACGTGGGGATATTTAAGGTCACAATCGGTGAAAATTTTAATTTCAACGTAAATAACAAATATGTAAATCTACACTTAATTTCATATTTTTATTTTTTAGCTCAGATACACCATATATAGCTTAAATGCCACGGCATCCACGATAGTGGGAAACGTGGGATAATTTGCATAACGGGCGAATACCCTGAACTAGAGAGTATTTTAAAAATAATGTTGCATGTATACTTATGGCATATTATAATTATACTAGCTAGACAGTGATCCCTTATGTTTTCATTTAATTGTGAAATAAAATTGTAGATTTAGATTTTAAAAATGTAGACTAATTAATTTCAATATTCCTCGATCGCCCACTAACGTCAAAAACAAAGACAGTAGCACGAGATTTACATGCATATTTTGCCTCCTTAGCGTCAGATATACAAAGACAGATGCGCACGAGATTTACATGCGTATTAGGCCTCAGCTCCTGACCTATCGATTTGCTTAAGTTACATTCCGGTATAATTATCAATAAATCAATTCCACTAACTTTCAAGAATTAACACAGAGA